CGCTGTAATAACATGCTTCAACTCAGCCAATCACAGGCTTTTGTTCAGATTGAGTCATCTACATCTGAGCGTGTCTGAAGAGAGTGTGACAAGGAGACTCTTGGGTGTTTCGCTGCTATCTTTAGGAGCACTCCAATCTGAAGGATTACTGCTGTGGACGTAGGAGGGAACATTTTACTTGAGACCTACTGCTGTGCATTAAATCTGGCTTCTGCTGTACAGTTAGCTGAGGGACAAATGTACTGTAGATTAGATGCTTGATTGTGCTCAGCGGGGACGGTACATGACAGCATGTAGGAAAGAATACGCTGCAGAAAAAGTGAGTTTTTGACCCGCATAATCAAACCCTTTTTCCTAATCTCTGGATGTAGGCTGAACACATAGTTTTGGAATTTCAGCATTAGTCCTAGAGTGGAAGTTTTGAATGGAGCCCAATTTACAAACTTTCCCACCCAACTTTCCCAGAAGATGCTTTGGCTGGCACAGATGCCATCAGATCTGAGATAGTAAAGCGCTGGCTAAGGCGGCGCATGCTGAGTGAAAACAGACACACAGACACACGCATACACACAATTTTAGGCAGCGGGCCTGATCCCAGTGATCCACAAACTGTCCCACCTTGACACCCCCTCCTTTTTCCTCCCCTTTCTCCTCCCTCTTTTCTCTCCCCTGCTGTGGGTCTCCTCAGGCGCATGAATGGAAGTCTTTATTCCCAGGAGAACTGGTGGGAAGAACGAGAGAACGAGAAACAGGGATTGGGGGGTGGGGGGGTGGCTCTGTGAGAGTGGCTGCAAGATCAACACAGTGCCACAGCTCCTCTTTTCTTCTCCTCCACCGCTTTTCCCTCCTTTTCTCTGTACACCCCCTCCACCAACCCCCTCCCGCCCACCCCCTTTAAGTGCAGTGACACAAAGCCGTTTAGTATTCATGTGTTTGTTTTGCCGAGGAGCTGTGTGTGTGTGGTGTGTGTGTCACCCTGCATGTGCGTGTGTGGGTGTGTGTTGTGTGTGTGTGTGTTGTGTTGTGTGTGTGTGCAGAGCTGTCAGAAACACAGATCACAGAGAAGCAGCGCTCTGAATGGAGCTGGAGAGAAGCGGGCAGGGGAGGTGGGGGGGTGGTAGTTCCCACAGGGGGAGAATGGTCAGCTCCAGAGAAGAGAAAAGAAGAAGAAAAGGAAGGATGAGATGGTGGGGGGGGGGCAGTGCACGAGGCCACGGGGGCAGAGGGAGACAGCACGGTGTCAAAGCCAAGGAGAGTGTGTGTGTGTGTGTGTGACAAGGAGAGAGTGGGAAAAAGAGGGGATCATATAAATCATAAGGTTTCGGAGGGAACTAGTTGTAAATGGGTCTGGGCACCTCTCTTCTTGTTTTTCTGCTGGTCCTCTTCTTCCCTCCCTCTCTGCCGCTCTCATTCTTTCAGTAACCCCTCCACCCCTCCCCATTTCTCCCTTTCTCCCTCTCTCTCTCTCTCTCTCTCTCTCTCTCTCACCCTCTGTCTCTCTGTGCCTCTCTCTCTCTCTCTTTCTTTCTCTTTGTGTGTCTGTCTGGACAGCTGCCCAGTTCCATACACAGGGAAAAATGAAACACTCTAACCACCGGGCGTGCAGCCAAATAAAAGGCTGCGAAAAACTATTTGAAGGGCAGCATGTTTGTGTGTGTCCGTGTGTGCGTGCATGGAGTTTGTGTATATGTTTGCTCGTGTACATGTGTGTCTGTGTTTGCTGGGTTGTGAGATTTGGGTGTGCCTGTTTAGGGTGTTCTTTCCCAGTATAATGGTGCAGCCAGGGTGCTCTGTGCGTGTATATGTGGGTGTGAGGGATAGGTTCCACTCTGAGGTTCAGTTTATTCAACAGTGGAAAACGAAAGGCTGTAGGAGAGGGCCGTCACATACCTCCCCACACATCAAACTGGAGGACAGAAGAGCACAAGATTTTACATCTAAATCTTGATTTAAAAACACCCTGCATGTGAATGTCACATTCAGACACACGCAGACACATTTGTCAGTAAATATAAGCTGACTCATTTTGCAAAGTGTCTTTCAGTTGGGTGATTGCAGCACTTAGTCACATATTAACCATGACCTCCTCCGCTGCGCTCTGACCTTATCTGATGGTTACATCACCAGTGGAAAGGAATGTGCCGCTCCATATCTGCCAGTATTCGGGTGCTGAAGAGCCTTTGTGTAACTGACTGAGGCCAATCCATGTTGTTACAGTGCTGGCCCAGAGGAAGACATCCTAGAAATGGTTGTTGACCTAGCTGTGGAGTATGACCCTTAACCCCTGAACACAGCCCTGAGAGCCTCAAGGGAGGGAGAGTGCTTGAAATGGGCTGAGGACTAAATATGCTTTGGGTCTATTTTGTGCTGGCCTTTCTCCGTATTTATATTTGATCTGTGGGGACTTGAGGAAGAAGGACAGTGTAGAAAAGGTTGAAGCCTCACAGCTCTTGCGCTTGTGGGTTGCTCCAGGGTCAGAGTCCCTGGTAGTGCTTATCTCCTGACCGCTGCCCCCTGCTGCAGGCCAGCAAGTAGCACAGGGAGATGACGGTCTCTATTCACACACCACATGACAAGAACAGGGCTGTGTACGTACAACAGAGAAATAAGTGCAGCGACATTTTTCGGTGGCATTACAGTACAAGATAAGAACAACAGGGCCTCCAATGCTGTGATAAAGAGGCAATGCAAAACATTCAGTGGAAATAGTGCAGAGTGAAGATACAAATGTTGAGTTATTATCACATGAATACCTGTTAAGTTGTATGAGTGAATAAGGTTGAACCTGTCTGGAAAAAGGCATGGAGCATAAGGAGTTCTTTTCACACCGTGTTGACTGCAACAACCATGAGAGCACCTCAGTTTGTATGACCACTATTTATATTTGCTTGTGTGAATATCAGACATTGAGTGTGTTTTCCCTGGAAATGCTTCATGGAATGTGAGAGGCATAGAGGAGGGGAGAGGGAAGGAGAGGGTGGTAGAAGGGAGGAAACTAAGAACAAAAAGCTGAACTGGTGCCAATAACCCAACCTCAACCGGAAAGCGCAAGTGGGGGCGGGGGTGGGTGGTGTGGGATCGAGGTGTGTGTGGGGGGGTGTGAGCTCCCTATTTCTGTTTTTTTCTTTCTCTTCTCTTTTGCTCTCTCTCAATAGTAGGAAAGGTGCCCATGCCTCCTCTCTTTATTATCTCTTTGTGGTTGCGTTGTGGTTACTGGGGAGGACACACGTGTGTGTGTGTGTGTGTGTGCTTGTGTAAGTCTGTCTCTCTCTCTAATCACCTCCACCTACCTGTCTGTCTCTTTTTCTGTGCCCTCCTTTAACCTGAAACAGCAGGTATTCTAGGACGGGTTAAATGAGAAAGCATGTGTGTATCAGGTGTCTGTCATTTTATCCCTCTGTGGACTCACAGCGTCGCTACTCCAGTGTCACTGTGCACACACACACAAATTCACACTCATGCACACACGCACATACACACACACACACATACATCTCAGAGCTGAAAGGATACCATAACAGGCCGCTCAGCAGATAAATGAGAGTGGGCATGTGTGTATAAGCACATGCATTTTCTGGCATTGTTAATCATTCACGCCTCTCAGTGTTTGCTTGCGTTGTGCATTTTCATCCATGTGTTGCATGTTGTGTTGATCGGCGTTCGTGTGTGTTTTTGTGCTCGTGAGTTTGTGCAGCTTGCGTCTGGCTGATAAACGGCTTCTGAAAGCCAGTGTGGAAGTACAAAATGAGTGTCACTGCCTGGCTACTGGTGGTACAGCAGAAAGAGGAAGAAAAAGGTCAGATAGTGACAGAGAAGGGATAGAGAATGAAAGTGGATAATGAAATGAAGGCAAAACTGGCAGGGTAAATGATAGAAGAGATGAAATACGTATGAATGTGTATGTGCCCTTTGATAACTACATACATGATATATTTCATTATTGTGCGTGTGTGTGTGAGACTGTGTGTATGTGTATATGCAAAGAGCAAAAGCTAATTATCTGACAAGCTGCTAATACATCCAGACTAAAATTGGTTGCCTGACTGTGTTCATACATTAGCATTTTTGCACTACTATGTGTGAAGGCAGGATTTTTGTCAAGCTTTTTGAAATGTGTACATCTACTGTATGCATGTGTGAGTGTGTGTGCCTGCATGCCTGTGTGTACATGCTGAGAGGCAGGCCTGTGGTTAGGTTACATCTCCCTGCAGCGCAGCAGAACAGTGTCTTGTTGCGTCATACTGAGTCTGTTAATAACAGGCTAAACCACAAAGGCCATCCGCTGCTCTATTTCTCATCTTCCAGCAGTACAGTGATTATGCAGCAGTGATACATTAAGCAGGGTTATGTTGTCAAGCACAGTAGATCAATGCTTGGGCATTTTCAGTCTTACATGGTCAAATGGTAACTGTGTAGTGAATGAAGGTTGACTTCATATTTGTGGCCCTTCACTGCGAAAATGTAGATACATTGTGCTATAGTTTTCAGGATGTGCATTGTGTGCAGTATGACTGTTAAGTGTGTAAGACTGAGCTTGGCTACTGTGTTTAATACTGTGTGCAGTCAGACACCCCCAACTCCATCCCCCAGCCCTCACAGCATGCAACATCCTTGCCACAGGAATTTAATTGCTCTGTAAACAAGCCTTTTGTTTTGTTGCACACTGTTTGCTCATGCACACAAGATGTATTAAAAGCTTCAGTCCTGCCGTGAAAAGAGAAGAATGTCACATTAGAGCACAACAAATCACTGATTTGATATGGACTGACAAAAAAAAAAAAACTGTATGCAGAACTGGATGCTATGCTGCATTTATAAGTATTATCTCTGTGAAGATAGGCTGATGTTATGAAGACAGGAAATGGAGTAGTCTTAGTTTTATGATCACATTATCGTTATCATCATATCATTTGTCAATCCCTACAGCTAAATAAAGATGTCTTGTGATTGTAGTGTGTATGTAGTAACCAGTCTTTGTGTCTCTGTTCTGTCGTCTCCAGACATACGAGCGCCAGTTCAGAATGCCTGAGCAGAGAGAAGGAGGCCTGCTGCAACTACTGGGAGATCACACTCCGCCCAAACACCAGCTTCGCAGCTCCCTCCTTCCTGCACACACACTCTCACACACACAGCAGACACAGCACGCCCTCACGCAACAATTCCAACACACTCATGCACACCAACACCAAATCAATTCAGACTGGATCGCGTCTTCAGCACCTTCTGCGTCCCCGGCCAATCCTGCAGATTCTGAGCCAGCCAGAGAACTGGCAGGAGCCAGTCGGAGCACTTTGCTCGATCCAACCCAACCTTTCTCACGAACAGCGACGCAAAGCCCCTCACCTCAGAGATCCCTGACTCCAGACCTGCAGTTGCCAGTGGTTACAGATGCTAGTATTCTCAACCTCACCTCTCTCAGCAGGTATGGTTGATTTTCATGTGTAGTGGATCTTCTCATGAGGCACACATTATCACTAGACCAAAAATACTGTACACTATGTATAGAGGGTATAGACAATTATTAGGTAATAAATCACAATATTTTGCAGGATATCTTAATGTTTAACACTTTTTTTTTTTAAATAACTGAATCAGGCTCAATTGTCATGATAACACCATGACATGAGTCATCTGGTGATACTCATCCCTATGTATGGTGAGACACAAAACACTCTTTCTCTTCTATGTCTTCATTTTTTCTCTGTCTACATCTCTTCAGGGGGAGGGGTTTGCAAGAAGTCAGCGAACAGCTCTTTGGGAACATCAAGAGGAAGTACGGCAGGAAAGACTCCCAGAGGATGCTCTGTAACCCCCACAGTGCTGACACACCTTGGGGAAGACAGACAGAGAAAGGATCGGAGAGCCCAAGTAATTCAGAGGAGAGGCAGAAATACAGGCCAGAGGAGACAGCTGAGCGGTTCCATGAAGAAAGAGAGGAAAGGAGAAAAGAGGAAAGAGAGCGAACAATTGCTGGGAGGAGAGGAGATGAAGACGACAGAGGGATGCACATGCTGACAGAGGAAGGGAAAGGAAGAAAGAGGCGGAGGAGGCCTTCTTTTGACGAGTCATTTTCTGTAGAGGAGCAATCACAGCAATGGCAGGACTCTGACACTACAGAAAAACACCAGCCTGGGCCCCCAGAACCTAAAGTAGCACATAAGATGGAGACTCACAAAAATGATTCTCGACTTACATGTCAAGCGGATGTCAGCGGAGAGAGGCTAGAAAAAGCAGAGAGAGTAGATAAAGGTGATAAAAGAGAAAAAGGGGAAAGGGCAGACAGGGCAGAAAGAGGAGAGACAGTTACATGCGGGCCCGACCTAGAGTCAGCTTTGAGCGTAAACAGAATGAAAAAGAACCCTGTGGGTCGTCCTAAGATCAGCACAGAGACCCTTAAACACAGAGAATCTATTCACAATCTCATCAACAAACCCAGTCTTAACACGAACCTCAGACTCCCTAGCCCAAATCCCAGCCCAGGCCCCATGGGTGGCATCAGTCCAAGCCCCAGCCCTAAACCCAGGGCTAACATTAGCCCCATTCCCAGCCCGAGACCCAGGGCAGCCCTGAGTCCTAGCCCCAGTCACAGCACCAGCTCCACAGCAAGTTCCAGACCATGCAAGGCCAAGGACAGGTGGTCCTACCTGAAAGCTAAAAGCCATGCCAGCCTAACATCACCACAGAGAGACAACAGGGGTAGCCCCTCCACCCTAACTGACCCACCTTCAGCCTTCCCCATCACCCCGTCTAGCCCCCTTTACACCAACACTGACAGTCTGACCGTCCACACACCCATTAAGAGGAAACGAGGGCGCCCGAAGAAACAGCCACTCCTAACAGTGGAGACCATCCATGAGGGCACTTCTACTTCTCCTCCAAGCCCACTGGCACAGGAAACGTCTGCAGGGCTAAATCGTAGGAAGAAGACACACACACTAAACACATTAATGCAAATGACATCCACAACCACCAGCGCCAATTCTAACAGTCTGAAACTAAAGCGTGGCAGGGGCCATTCCAGGCCAGTGAATAAGATGAAGCTTGGGAAAATGCAGAGCATCCTGAATGAGATCCTTTCAGGCTCCAGTCAGAATGGCACTCTGGCTCTGAAGTCATCCTCTGCCCCTGTTACCTCAGCTATGAGTGCCATGGCATCCACCATTGAGGCTCGGCTGGGAAAACAGATAAACGTCAGCAAGAGAGGAACCATCTACATTGGTAAGAAGAGAGGACGGAAACCTAGAGCAGAAACCCAAGTTTCCAACCCTCCCAAAACCACTCGGGACAAGCCCCCCATGTCTATCTCCACCTCCAGTCTCTATGAGAGCCCTGTAGTGCCTTCCACCACCTCGTCTCCCAGCTCCAGCGCTCCACCCCTAAGAGCCAGCCACTCTGATGCCACTATGCCCAGTTTGCAGCCCATCTCAGCCCTGCCCTCCAAGCCTCCAAGCAGGGGCTTCCTCTCTGGGGGGTGGAAACTGTCTCCTCCCCGCCTTCTGGCTAATTCACCCTCCCACTTGTCAGAGGGAGCGTCAGTGAAGGAGGTGACCCTGTCCCCCATCAGCGAATCCCACAGTGAGGAGACTATTCCCAGTGACAGCGGGATTGGGACAGATAACAACAGCACCTCAGATCAAACTGAGAAGGGTCCGGCCTCTCGGCGCAGGTGCAGTACACTGCTCTTTACCTTCCTTGAAGCTTGATTTATAGACTTTGGTTTTATATTTTGGACTGGTACACATTCATGAACCTGTGATTTTATATGCTATGTTGTGTTCATACAGGTACTCATTTGATCTGTGTGGGTTTGAGGCTGTGGAGGCAGCAGCTCTGGAAGCCTCCAACAGGAGCAGCAGAACACGCTGTGAACGGCAAGTAACTGCTGTTGACAACTTCCTGTCACAACAGGAAAAGAAGCAAAAACATCATCGGCGGAAGAGGAAGTGCTTACAGAGCCGGGATCATCTTCATTTTCTCTCTGAACTGGAGGAGGTTAGAAAAAACACTTTAATAAATTCTGTGTATAATGTTTGACCGCACACTGCAATGTGCAAGTGGTGTATTTGCCTTAACGTTTCCTCTCTTCCGCCTCCCTGTAGGTTGTGGTAAAGCTCCAGCAGCTACGAGTGTCTCACAGACGATACGCCTGCTACCCCCAGCACCCATATCCATCTATTTTCCGCCTCAACTTCCATCATTACTACCCAGTTACCTATGACTCCTACCCCTGTGACTCCAGCTCGTACCTCCGCAGGAGTGCCGATCTGAAGGCTAAGAGGAGACGCGGCCGTCCAGCCAAAGCCAGCGAGCCAATCACAACGAAGCTGCCTTTTGTTCAAGGATATGGTTATCCGCTGGCAGGGGGAAATTTCTATGCAGCACCATATGCGATGCCTTACGCATCTCCTCTGAGTCTGGGCTACTTTCCCCCTGCTCCCCCATTTTACCTGCCCCACCACACGCTAGGACCTGCACCTCCATCTCCCTTCATGAGGCCCGCTGTCCCCCCACCCAAGGCTTTCCACTCCAGTGGACACTCCAAGCTCCAGCCAGGGGCCAAGCTTCGCAGCGCTAGTGGCCCACTCCAGGGGCCCTCTGTAAGAGGAGAGGGCCTTGGATCCCTGGGCAGTGGCAGTGCAGGTGGTCTTGCAGGGGTTCGCCTCCATAAGAGGAAGCACAAGCACAAACATAAGCACAAGGATGAACCCCTCCTTTCACCGCGAGACCGACAGGAGTTGGGTGGGCTTTTCAGTGGAGCTAAGACCACTGCGCGTCTCAGCATGCTGAGTGACAGGAGGGACTTGTCCAGTCAGGGCTCATCTAAGCATCTGGAGAAGCAGAGGGGCAGTGGTAGAGGCTCAAGTCTGGGATCCAGCTTAGGGATGTTTGAGTCGGACCAGCTGTCCACACACTCTCTTGCTGACAGCCAGTTCCACTCCCGTCAGACTGGACAGCCAATAAACAGCTTCATGAGCAGCTACAGTAGCCAATCGCAGCGGTCGGAGTCAGCGTCTGACCTCTTTTTGGGGTCACGGGAGGACGACTGTGGTGGGAGGGGCAGGAAGACGAGGCTCGCTGTGTTTGGAGATCAGGGCTTAATGTCATTCCAAACTGCCAGGCAGGAGCCAGGACAGATGAACAAGTGCTCCAGTCCCCCCCTCACTGGTAAGAACCTCTTACATTAGGATTACCTGTTCATTTTTAAATCACACTGTGTATTTACAAGGAAGTGCACTGCTCTTTTGCCATGATCAGAAACCATGAGGAATGGTTTTTCTTTTGACGACAGCAGCACGGTAAAATGCATTGTTTACTTTGATGATGTGTTGGAGGTTTGAGGTTACCCAGACTGCAATAACCACTTGTTGCTTGCTTGTCTTTACCTAACCAGTTCACTTATGGCAAGACTTCCTGTAACTACCTCACACTGAAAGCCATACATGGTTCCCCTGTGGAAAACTAACAATATGAAGCATCAGTAGGAAGTGTCCAGCTGACAGTAGCAGCACTGGACCTCATTACAGATCCAACTGTGATGCAAAAGAGAGCAACTAACAGTGACTTCTATTGTACACAGGAGATAAAAAAAAAAAACGATTAAAAGCTGAATATAGGTCGTGCTTTAAAAATGTGGCTTCTTTTTCGTCACCTGCGTGACCACAAATTGAGCCAGTGAGTTTATCATAATGTTGACATAGCTCTGATAAAGGTTGCTGCGTGCACATTCAGTGCTCCCTGTTATGAGGGAACTCTGGATGTGCATACTGTGCAGTAAAGCACAAGATCCTACACTGCAGTTAATGAATCCTACACCGAACCGGTGAGGGAAAAAAAGACACATACGTGGCATTACAAGCTATTCATGTGAAATCTTAAGCTGCCAATGTTGCAGAACTGATAACATAACTAAATCAGGAGCATGTTTGCAAAAAGTAATTGATGTCCATATATATTTACATTTACATTTACTCATTTGGCTTTTATCCGGAGCGACTTAGAAGTCAGGGACATCACCGAAGCTTCAGTGCAGTAGGAGACCTTGGTGTAAGCACTAAGTGCTTCACCAAGGTATTATTCTGTTCCCTGGTGATAATGGGCTTGTTTTGCTGGAGTAGAGTTTTAATCACATAATTTGACTGAGTTAACTGGGCTTTCCCTATTTTAAATGCAGATTTCAGCACGCTCATCAAGAAGATTCATATTTATAAATAAGCTATGTACAGGATTATTAGGATTTAAAGCAGACAAAGAGGCAAAATTCTCACTACCAAACTAATGTGTATTTTGGTACATTCTGTATTCTGCTGTCTTTGAGCACATCTGGCTGGGGATAGAGAGAACGTAATGCATGGATGGAGACGACTATAATTCACCAATCTCTCCTTCCTCCCCTCCCACCCTCCCTTCCCTCTCTCCTGCCAATGCCTTTGCCAGAGATATATTATTCACACAGTGTGATTTATTTTCTACAGACACGCCGTAAAAGGCCCTTGCCTGTGTTAAAAGAGCTGGCTGGCAGCCAGGGGTTTAATGACTGGGGCCTAGTCCAGTGGTGGGGAGGAGAAGCCAGGGGCTCAGTTAGAATACACCCCCCACCCCAGGGGATCCAGGAGGGATGACTCATATACAACCCCCCCACCCCCACCCCCCTACACCCCCAGCCTACACACACCCCCGCCTTCTACGTTATCCCTCCAGTGTTGTTATACCTCTTCTACCCTCCATGTCCTTCCCTTTTCCCCTTGTGCTGCTTCTGCAGTTTTTGCCCTTGATTTCCTCCTTCCACTCTCTCCCACAATCCCCACATCCACATGCAGACTTCCCCTTGTTCCTCCGCCTCTTCCTCCCCCTCCCCCTTGTGTCTCTCTTTCCTTCTTCCCTTTCTCTTTCTGCTTTTTTCCTTGTCTCCCCTCCCCCTTGTTCCCCCATTACCCTCTCTTTTCCCCATTCCCTCTGCCCCTCCTCTAGCATGACTTACTGCTTCACTTCACAGCTTTAGCCCAATTAAAACATAGGCGCGTGTGCCTACGCACGCATGCTGCACAACCACACATATATGCATGCACATGCTGGAATAGACCCACTCTGACACACACAGATATACACACGCAGATAGATAGAGCCCCATCCACAAGCTGACATAGATGCAAAATTCATATTATTATCTACTATATATTATAACTAGTTTGTAATGATTTAAACAGTTTCATTTCTTTATGCATGTGTGTGTCTGTGTGTCTGACAGCAATCTCTCACAGGCATATTTACATAAAAGCGGGTCATCTTGCACTGACTTAATAAGAATCATTTTCATTGTGTCACATGACTTGTTTAAACACATGTGTGCAGTTTTATGTAGAGAAACCCTCAAACATTAAATAATGTACATTAAGGACCACTTTAGCCGCAGTGGCAGTGGATAAGTGAGCATGTATCTGTATGTTGTAGTGACTTCCTATTCCACAGAGAAACAGGTCCTCAGTGCTGTACGGCCCCTCACACTGCTGAAGGTCACCGGTTTTATGTTCCGTGTATGCAGCTCATAAATTTCTGCTACTTTGTAGTGTGTGTGTGTGTGTGTGTGTGAGCGTAGCGTGTGCACACTTCTGTTCAGCTCATAAACTACTGCTACTTAGTGCTTTCTGCATTAGACTAATTTCACTGTCTGCCTTGAATACTTGAGCAACAATAGAGTCAGATGTTCCTCTGAGTTTTAAATGGAGGGCGGTCAGGCCTCTTTATCTTCCTTTAGTCTTAGTTCATTAGCAAACACTTTGCACAACACTCTTAAACTATTATTTTTCACTTAAACATTCCCATTTAGATTCTTTAAATGTTGAAGGAACACTGTATGACAGTATCACACATATATTCTGTATTGTTGCAACACTTCACTGAAGCTAAAAGCTTTAATAAACAAGAGTGACATATTTAAGCCCAATATGCCATGCATAATTTAATAAATATTTAGTGTCTAAAATTCAGAGCTGTTTTGGTTTAACGCCATCATCAATGTGCTAGAGCACTGCAGAAACCCGCTACTCTATATCAGCAGGATTCTGGAGGAAAAGAAGAAAGGAGATGGTTAGGGAATCCAGGAATAGGAGTAAAAGCTCAAGAAAAAGAGACCAAGCATGTTGTATGCACACTGCTTGGGGACTGGTGGCTGATTGTGCTTTTCCTCCATTTTGGCTGTGGCTCAGTCTGAGCCCTGGGAACAGTGCCCAGACAGAGAGGAGGGGTGGGGGTGGGGGGGTGGTGGGGGGGCTAAGAAATGGGACAGAGATGGGAAACAAAAAGAATGACAGAGACGGACCAAGACCAGGAAGAGGTTTCTGAAATAGAGAAGGAAATGAAATGGTGCAGTGTTACCAGTTTAATTGAAAATTAGAGAGTAGCATATTGCCGCCCATGAAGAGTGCAGAGGAAAAGAAAATGAGACTGATGGGGAGAGGGGGAAACAGAAAGGATAGAACAGCATGTAAAGGGCATACTGCCCAGTTCACCAGTGTGAAGGAAACAATATGGCTCCAGTTTCATCTGCTCAGCCATTCTGAACTGTCGAATTCATTATTTGTGCATGTTGGGCATGTGAGTGTGTGCACATGTGTGTTTTTGTACTTGTGTCTGTGTGGATGTGTGCATGCGCATAAATGTGTCAATATGTGTGTTAGTATTTGTGTCTGTATGTGTGTTTGGCTTTTTGGCAGCCTGTGCTCCAGATGCACAGGGTTGTTATTGTGTAGCGACATATTAAATGGTTAAAGGAGACATTTCTGTGGGTTTCCTGCTAGCAGAATGGGATCTCCTCCTCTCCCCTCTCCTCTCTGCTCTCTAGTAGACAATTACAGGATAGGATCTGCTCTCCTGGCTCAGCTGGGCTTTGAAAGGCTTACATGAATATGTCAAAATTAGCAGGAAGCTCTTGAAGCAAAAAAAGAAAAAGATTCTCTCCATGAGCTAAATTGGCATAATGTCTTTCCTGGCCTTTCCAAGGCTGCTCATTTTGACTGACATGCTAGATTGAAAACTCCTTTCTCTTTATAGACCTTGCTGTGCTATTTATTTACCTTGTGATGTCTCTGCTCACTCATGCTCACTCTCTCCTCTCCCAGGTGTTCCCAGTAAGCGGAGGTATAAACGTCGTGAGGTGGAACAGATCCAGAAGGACGTCAGGAGAATGCATTCTTTGAACTTTGAGCATGTGCAGAAGATCCTCCGTGCCAAGCGCCTGCAGCGACAAGCCAAAACAGGAAACAATGTCATCAAACGACGGCCTGGACGGCCCCGAAAACAACCCTTAGAGGAATCAGAGCCGACCAATAGGAGGGAGGAAGATCGGGCTGATGTTCGGGGTTTGGACATGTTTGCCAGTAGGCGAGGTGATGGGAGGACTCTGGGGATGCCTGTCCTGGAGAGGTGTGATGACCTGCCAGGTAGGCAGAGCCTCAGGCCAAACTTGACCCCCGAGCCGCTGGAGTTCTCCAATCACGATTCCATCTCAGCAACAATTGAGACCGTGGTGCATCAAGCGCGGTCGGTGGCTCCGCTGGCCAAAGGGGGGAAACGCAGAGGCAGGGGCCACAGCAGGGACGAATTATGGGCTCCTTCCAGTCAATAAACCTGCAGGAGCGAGCAACTCCGCAACCGGACGGAGAGCAGTGAATGGAGTCAGTGCTGTCCCAAGCCTATCAGATGCAGTGCCCTTAATTATGGGACTCCTCGGTGCACTTTGACTTGTTTCTTCTCTCTGATTTGTTGTGAGGACTACAGTGGGTCAGTGGAGAAGCAGGAGGAGGGAACACTTGCGGTGCCATCCCTCTGTTAGCTAAACCCAACCAGACATGAGCCTTTCAAGGATTCATTGGACCTTCATTTACAATGGCACTATATGGTACTATTTGATACTGAATCTGATGCTATACAAGTGTGTGGTACTTATGATAGTGTAGGATATTATGTGATTCTTTATGTATCTGATACAGTGATGTGTATGGTACTTTATGATACTGTATCTGAATGTGGCTTTAGCCATATATTTACCAGCAAGGGGAGGGGGAATGGTTAATATAAAACTGTGCAGCTCTGCTTATTTTTGCCTTTCTGAGGAAGCTTGTCAAAGACATGTGGAATAATACAGCAGTAATTAAGCCACCTTACCCTAATACTTATCCCTGTTTTTGCTCCCAACCCCACCTGTACCTTCCTTGTTCTCTTTCTCTCTCTGAGAAGTAACTCATACTTCCTGGCAGCTCCTCACCCCTGGTCCCCGTCCCTGCTTCAATTTTTCAGCCCTCCCTGGTGCCTGCCGCTCAACTCCATCTCCCTTTGTCCTCTCATCTACTCCCGATCATGTTTTTCATCTCCTATTGCTTGTCCTCCCTCAGCATACTCCCCCCCCCCTCTCCCCCCCCCCCCCCGTCTCATTTATTTCTCCCTCCCTGCTCAGGCCTGTCCTGGGCAGTGACATAAAGGCAATATGGTGGATGAGACTGTCCCAGACTGTACATAGAAACAAAGTCCACTGTTGCCTGCCTTGTACAATGGGAAACCAGCTCATAGACTCGTACTGGCATACAGTATATCAAATAGAATTGTTGTACCATAGACAATGAAAGTTGTGTATTGTTTTATAACCAAAAACAGACGTGGGTGCGACTCAAGACAAGTTTGTTTTCAGACAGAAAGAACCACATGTATTCATTCATACACTCATTATTGTGTTTATATCCAGGGGGCATTGCATACAGGAGGAATATCAGGTGTGTTTTTGGTAAACCTTAAAATTGGTTTAATGCACTATGAAAAACCATACACTTGCATCAATCAAATGCAGCACTTACATGCTTGTTCCAGCCTTATGTTTTGGCCTTCGATGGTGTGGATATCCATTCCAGAGAGCATGCATTATTTTAATCAATTTGTATATGCAGGCTGCGCAGCCAAAAGCGTCAAACCGAAGCCCCGGTCTGAATCGTGATTGGACAGTTCAGCAGAGGAGGGCTCTCAGTCAGTGTTTTGAAAAGCTAATCCCAGTCTTTCTACTTTACATGATTTTCAATCCATATCCTTGGAAATATTTTTGGAAAGTAAATCTAGTATTTAGGTTTAGAAACCAAAGTCTCAGTATTCAGTGTAAGGATGTATTATTTAAAAGAATCTAAATCAGAGTTTGACAAACTCTCCACCATGTTGGCACCAATGTAAAGCATTCCTATGTGCACTCTAGAATGTAGCCATCTTGGATTTTTTGTGTCAATATGTTAAGCCTTTGTTAAACTCTATCTACAGTATCTGTGGCTTTGGGTAGTGGTTGGTATTTTCTCAAATAAGTATTTCAGAATATAAGCAATGGCTCAGTGTTTCTTTGGCAACTTTGTTAAACTTTCGTTTCAGGAGATTCTGTTTTCTTTGGGTGGGGTGGGATTCTCAGTTGCAGCAGTTCAACTTGTGCCTTATGTTTCTTTCTCTCACCAATTTACATTTGACCTGAGAAATATCAAGTGGCAAAGAGTGCCCCAGAAATTGTCCCTAAATATTCATGATTGTGCATATGACGCATGTGTCTTAGTCATCTGAACCCTGACACTGCCTGTGTCCCTTCACAGCTTCCATAGTCAGCATCCTCTGTCACCGGGCACCGAGTCGCTCTCCCAGCTGCCTTCTAGTTTTCTCACCCATATCATCATAACAGAACTAGAAGGGCTGGACTGATAAAGACAATATGATATTACTGTATTAAGTACACATCATGTTCTGGCCTACATACTGCCTCACAGCAGTGCTGGAAACAGAAAGGGCCTCTGTTTCAGATGTGTTTATATCCAGCAATATTGATTGTACTCAATGTCCCAGATATATAATTGAAGATCACTTCCTCTGCCCAGTGTATAACCAGTTATTTACAACATATAACTGGTTACATACTTGGCAGAGGAGGAACAGAGGAGGTTGTCATGGAAACCACGTTCTCATACATTGTTGTTTGCTATGCATCAGGCCATGCCTGGCAATGACCTTAAAAGGAATTTCTGTTCTGGGTCCACCCTTCGACAAAGAGAAATAAGTGGTCTTATTTACTGAATAAAATGAATTCATGTAACAAGAATTGTGAATAATACCAGTAATAATTTGTAATAAGTTGTGCAGAAAGTGACTATCATTTCATGAAAACTATAGTTACTGCAGCTCTATGCAGTACAAGCCTTAACCAGATGTAAAACTACAGTATTGAAGTGTTTGTTGTAAATAGTGTTAGTATGTCCATCCTGCATGGATACTGGTTGGGCTCGGCTATGCTGGGACTGTCTCCTAAAACCACAGTAGACCTTCTCTCTCTCTATTAAGACTGCTCAAGACCCAAGAAAACATACAGAAATGACAACCCCGAATTAATTTTCCTATTCGACAAATTCTGCTGTACACTGACATTCATTGTTCCAGTCCGTTAAATTACACAGAATGCTAAAATAATTTGCCTTATCATGCCTTTAAACGGTTTTTAGAGGATTCAAACCCCACTGTAGTGCAATCGACCAAAAATAGGAATCCCCGCTGACTTGCAGCTATTTTGCCTGCAGTCAGTCAGGGCAGTGCAGTAGCATGTAGAGTAAGCAAGAGGGTTGTGTGTGGGGGGAGTTCTCAGAGGAAACAGCCAAAAATACACTCGTTCCTAACGTTAGTGCGCTTAACCTTGCTTCGCTAGATGACTTTCAGTGGGTCTGCAGTCTGTTGTGGTGAAGATGAGGTCTAGATATGTGGTCCATGAGGTGTAGAGACTAAACGCTTGGCAGCTTACTCCTCCATACTGTGGTCAGTCAGTGGTCTCTGATGTAAGAGTTAAAGACCCCAGGTGTTGTCTGTCCTGTCTGTCTCTCCTACCAGCCAATGCTCCGGTGCCTTCTAACACTGACAAGTATTGTCCTAATCCAGAGCTTTCACTCTACACAGAGACTGCAGAGGGGATGTGGCTGTGAATAGGGTTCAAGGTCACTGTTGTTGTATTGTATTTAGCAGCCAATCTGGACCAGTGGCTACAGGAGGACCCTAAACACTGATGTAAGGCTCTTTTACCTTATCTTTGGTGCTAGCATCAAGGGCAGCGCAGCAGTGTTTGACCTTAAATCAGTGGTTGGGGTGCATCTACTGTAGTCCATATTTACCAGTTCCCTACAACAACTAGGATGAGATATAATGGCACCTAAATTTTGCCACCTCCATTCCCTATGTAGCATGCTGTGATGAGTGTCCTACAAATGGAATGAGGGGTCATGTGAGACAGAGCCTCATAAATGTACATGTAGTCATCCTCACAGCATACGTTACAGTTCTAAGCTATAATGTTGTTCAAAGCTGAAAGTGCAGATGAAGCATTGAGAAAACCAATAAATGTACTTCTTTAGAGCACAAAGTGAGCTCTTCTAACAGTGTGGGCATATTTTAGTTTGTATACATAGTGTATTTGAACCTTTTTCTAGAGTGGGTTTCCTTTATTTGCATGCTCAACTTGATTGTATGCATAAATATTTTAGACAAGCCGAAAGTTGAATTTCAATTGAATTTGGAGCAAGACTTGTACATTGTTTGATATGTTTCTTTTTGTAATGAATTTTTTAATTCATGAAGCATTTTTGTACATTGTATGAATATTAAAAACTGCAAATATTTGACATATAGAGTAAATACTAGATGCGCATGCATATGCATATATCCTTCACAGTATGTATGTGTAAATGTACACATATATTTTGTATTTGCATTTGCTGGCATACAGATATATGTCTTAAGCACATATATACATGCAATATATATGTATATCCATGTCCGCTGGCATGCTTTTGGTCATGTTTATCTTCCATGATCTTGTAGGTTCATTTTTTTTTTTTTTTTTTTTTTTTTTTTTTTTTTTTTTTTTTTAATTTCTCTTTCCTCAGAAAGAAAAGCTCATTCTTTTGCTATGCTTCTGTTGGCTGGCAGCGTTGAGCACTTATTAAGAAGAACTACAGTTGAAGTTGTTCATGTTATCCATTGTGTGAAATAATAAATGACTTTATTGACAGCTGATGGTGGCACTTGTTTTGTTATTCCTGTATCGGATTTAATGCTCTGATCACCTAAAAAACTGCTTTGTCACATGCCGAGATAAGGCTGATAAATTATCCTGTGATAAGAGCCAGCGTGTGTGTATGTGAGTGAGTGTGTGCAGCACGCATGCGAATGTGTGTGGGAGCGAGATGACAGGACGGCTTGCTGCACTGTTGGTACTGAATGTCAGATGGTCCCAGTGAATGAGTACTACTCCACAATGTGTCTGCTTTTTGCAGTTAAAAGAGAGGGAATCCTCTGATCAGATTATACTACAGCCTCACTCAGTCCCACTCTCTCTCACACACACACACACATACACACACACACACCTACACACTCTTACTCTCTTACTTGTTCATTAGCCAAGCCTACATCTCTAAATCGCTCCTGCACTAGCCCATCAGTTTCAGTTCTAGGTGGGCTGGGCTGCAGGCTGCTCTGTTATTGGACGGAGCTGAGTGGGAAGTGCCCCACTATTGGCTGCTGCCAACTAGTAAAATTCTTCTGTTACCATGGTTGCAGGGTGAGCTGCCCAAATGTGTCTCAGTGTATCTAGTGGTGCTGATGGAACCGTTGGCACCACCGGTGTTGTGCTGAAAAAAATCCCCCCTCTGATGGAAGTCAGGGCTGCAGTGGGGCTGCACCCAAATCACTCTCTACTGATGCCTGTAAATGAGCCCACATGGCCCCACTCCACCTCCTGCACAAGAGAGAGGATGAGATAGATCACCAGGGCTGTGATCACGATGAAACAGCACAGTGAAACACATCCTGCATGAAGGATGAAGGATGTACTGTTGAGCCAGAGCTGGAAAAACAGAATCATCAATCTCATGTGCAATGCATGGAATTTCTCAGCATGTTTAGAGTCATATATGGTTTTGCCCAGGCAGGTCAGTGATATCTGGATCAGTGATAAATGAGTAAAATTCTATACATATAAAATGTTACATGAAACATACACAATATAAAGCATTATTTTTGATATATAAATATAAAGGTACAATATATTCCAGCTAGTCAGTAGGTGGAGTCACAATGCATGTCAAATGAAAGGAAATGACTGGAAATGACTGAATTTAAATTGTCCCCGGTATTGTTTATTCTTTTTTTTCTTTTTGCTCCACAAAAATGTGTAAACTCCTTTCAGCTTTATGTAACAATATTATTAAATCTTACCTGCTGTGACATATTTGCACAGCAGAAATATCTAACTGCAATCATAGAAGCGCTAAAGGACTAAATATTTGAAGAAGTGGATCAGTGGTATGCTCTGTTATCAGGAGATACAGACAGGAAATGT